GGAACTGTGGGATAGCTACCCATAGTGCAATGCTCCGGAAGTCGACGCTAGCCTCGGTACTGTGGACGCGGTCCGCCGACTAGAGCACTTAGAGCATTTTATGTGGGGACACACACAATCGGCTGTATACAACCGATTTCTATAAAACCGGCTTCTATTAATTCGATCTAATTTCATAGTGTAGACATACCCTTAGAGTTCATTTGTCTCTGGGGTGTGTCTATACTGCAGCATAAGACTGGGATTGAGCCCAGGCTCAAGCCTAAGCCCTTTTGCATCTACACTGCAATTGCGCTAACCTAGGGCTCAGACCCAGGGTCCCAGGACCCTGCAAGGCTGGAGGGCCCAAGCGCAAGGTAAGCTGAGATCCAGGGTCTGAGCCCCATTGCTTTGCAGTGTAGATGCAGCCCTGCTTGACTGGGGTCCCAGGAGTCAGCTGGAAGTATCCCACAATTCCATGGGACAAATTCCTTAGTCCTCTCTCCCCCAACTATCTGCAATCCACTCTACTGAAAACAGAAGCCTTCCCCCCTTTGCAAATGGCAGCTGCTCAGGTCAGCATTAACCCATTCGCTTCTGACTACTGATCTGTAAGCACACTATCAGAGAGTCTCCTGGGTGTGCAAAGGAGAGCGAACCCATCAAGCCTTTGGCAAAGCGAGCTGCTTCCTGGTAACATGCAGGGTGGGCGGTAAATTTTCCCAAAGTGCACCACAGTCCTGGAACTAGAGCGGCCACATTTGGGGGGTCGGGGGAACACAAGGGAGTATGGGATGTGGGTACTTTGACTCGGGTCTGCGCACTGCTGGTGTGGATGCCAGAGCCCTAGGTTCCAGCACAGGTTAGAAAAGTCGAACACACCCAGGATTTCTTCACAAAGGTCAGACTCAAGTCCCACTAACCCTGGGATTACATTACAGTGTACATGATACAGTTCTGCGGTGATCTGGAAGCCTACTTTCGCCGCCTTCGACTCAAAGGATACTTTCAAGATAACACTGAACAGCGCACCGATACACAGATACCCTCCCACCAACAACACAGGAAGAAGAACTCCACATGGACTCCTCCTGAGGGTCGAAATGACAGTCTGGACCTATACATAGAATGCTTCCGCCGACGTGCACAGGCAGAAATTGTGGAAAAACAACATCGCTTGCCTCATAACCTAAGTTGTGCAGAACGCAATGCCATCCACAGCCTCAGAAACCACCCTGACATTATCATCAAAGAGGCTGATAAAGGAGGTGCTGTTGTCATCATGAACAGGTCTGACTACCAGAAGGAGGCTGCCAGACAACTCTCCAATACCAAATTCTACAGGCCACTTTCCTCAGATCCCACTGAGGAATACACTAAGAAACTGCACCATCTACTCAGGACACTCCCTACACTAACACAGGAACAAATCAACTTACCCTTAGAGCCCCGACCGGGGTTATTCTATCTACTACCTAAGATCCACAAACCTGGAAATCCTGGACGCCCCATCATCTCGGGCATTGGCACTCTCACTGAAGGACTGTCTGGATATGTGGACTCCCTACTCAGACCCTACGCCACCAGCGCTCCCAGCTATCTCCGTGACACCACAGATTTCCTGAGAAAACTACAATGCATTGGTGACCTCCCAGAAAACACCATCCTAGCCACCGTGGATGTAGAGGCTCTCTACACAAACATCCCACACACAGATGGAATACAAGCTGTCAGGAACAGTATCCCTGATGATGACACAGCACAACTTATTGCTGAGCTCTGTGACTTTATCCTCACGCACAATTATTTCAAATTTGGTGACAACATATACCTCCAGACCAGTGGCACCGCTATGGGCACCCGCATGGCCCCACAATATGCCAACATTTTTATGGCTGACCTGGAACAACGATTCCTCAGCTCTCGTCCACTCATGCCCCTTCTCTACCTACGCTATATTGATGACATCTTCATCATCTGGACCCATGGGAAGGAGACCCTGGAAGAATTCCACCATGATTTCAACAGCTTCCACCCCACCATCAACCTCAGCCTGGACCAATCTACACGGGAGGTCCACTTCCTGGACACCACCGTACAAATAAGCGATGGCCACATTAACACCACCCTATACCGAAAACCCACCGACCGCTACGCCTACCTTCATGCCTCCAGCTTCCACCCCGGTCACACCACACGATCCATCGTCTACAGCCAAGCACTGAGGTACAATCGCATCTGCTCCAACCCCTCAGACAGAGACCAACACCTACAAGATCTTCACCAAGCATTCTCAAAACTCCGATACCCACACAAGGAAATAAAGAAACAAATCAACAGAGCCAGATGTGTACCCAGAAGCCTCCTGCTACAAGACAGGCCCAAAAAAGAAACCAACAGAACTCCACTGGCCATCATCTACAGTCCTCAGCTTAAACCTCTCCAACGCATCATCAGTGATCTACAACCCATCCTGGACAATGATCCCTCACTTTCACAGACCTTGGGAGGCAGGCCAGTCCTCGCCCACAGACAACCCGCCAACCTTAAGCATATTCTCACCAGCAACCACGCACCGCACCATAACAACTCTAACTCAGGTACCAACCCATGCAACAAACCTCGATGCCAACTCTGCCCACATATCTACACCAGCAACACCATCACAGGACCTAACCAGATCAGCTACAACATCACGGCTCATTGACCTGCACGTCCACCAATGTTATATATGCCATCATATGCCAGCAATGCCCCTGTGCTATGTACATTGGCCAAACTGGACAGTCACTACGCAAGAGGATAAATGGACACAAGTCAGATATCAGGAATGGCAATATACAAAAACCTGTAGGAGAACACTTCAACCTCCCTGGCCACACAATAGCAGATGTAAAGGTAGCCATCTTACAGCAAAAAAACTTCAGGACCAGACTCCAAAGAGAAACTGCTGAGCTCCAGTTCATTTGCAAATTTGACACCATCAGCTCAGGATTAAACAAAGACTGTGAATGGCTATCCAACTACAGAAGCAGTTTCTCCTCCCTTGGTGTTCACACCTCAACTGCTAGCAGAGCACCTCACCCTCCCTGATTGAACTAACCTCATTATCTCCATACTGATTTATACCTGCCTCTGGAGATTTCCATTACTTGCATCTGAAGAAGTGAGGTTCTTACCCACGAAAGCTTATGCTCCTAATACTTCTGTTAGTCTTAAAGATGCCACAGGCCCCTCTGTTACTTATTACAGTGTAGACATTCCCGCTGTCTTCTCCTGTAAATCTGAGGTACAGTCTGTCAAATAAAAGTAATATCCATTTATGAGACCAATCTTCCTTAAGAAAAGAAAGGAAAACCCCACAACACAGAGGAGTAGAAGACACTTTCAGCTTCATATAAAATGAAATTCCAGAGCAGGATATAGCTGATAACTCAAAATCAAAACACATTCTCCCATCTCCCCTGATCCATTCAAACTCTCTTCACTCAGTGCCACCTCATTATTATTGAGTCATGTTATGTACAAAAGATTTAGCTTCATCACAAGGGGGAAAAGCAGCCAAACTTTCCATCTGCAAACAATCCCAGCTCAGCAGGAAAAAGGCCAGAAGCAGCTTTGGAAGCCAAGATGAAAGCACAGAATGACTACGCTGTGTTTGGAATCCATTTAAATCCCCCTTCCAGGTCTGTGACACTTTCACATCTAGCCGCAGTGAGTCTGATTTAGGATCAAAGTGTGACACCTAAGCATAGAAAACGCTCAGAACGTGGCATCACGTGACACTTTGGGAGGTGCATGGGTGGAACATGGGGAGGATAAACATTATTGTGCCTTACACAGAAGCTAATGCTGCTGGGGTGAGGGGGGATTGTGACAGTGATGGGGAAGGAGGGAATCCCTTTGCCTCACCCCATCTCCTTCGGGTGTCACAGAGGCTGAAATGACACATTTTTCCTACCCTGCTCCTGCTCTTTGATCTATTTCAATCTATTTTAAATGAGGAAAATGGTAGAAAAAATACTTCTGTCCAGCACAACCCTGAGCAAGGTGAGAACAACTGGGATTGAGACAATCTGTCCCCAAAGGGGAACTCGGTGACTAAGAATCACTTTGTAATAGGGGAATGGTATCGACATGATGCTCGGGGTTTGTCTAGACTAGGGGAAATGATGGAGGTGAGCTCAGGCCAAGGGGAAAGCTAACCCTAGTCACAGTACCCAGGTTATGTCTCTACTATTCTCTACTGTTATGTCTCTATGTAGTTGTGTTGTTACAACAAGATCACTAAGATGAGCCATGCACAATCCCAATGGAGACAAGCTTTTACCTCAGTGTAGCTAGTCAAGGTTACCCCATCTCCCCAACCTGGTGCTGATGGATATTTCTGGCAGGAGGGGGACACTCCCAGGAGATATAAGACAAAAGAGTTGATAAAGGATGATGGGATTCACCCCAAATCAGGGGAAGGTGGGGAGATGGAAAATGGTACAAACTGTGGGAATTAGCTAATGTATTTTACCAAAAAACTTTGGTGAACCCTAGACAAGACATTTATGGCATTACTCACCTGTGTGGATTTTCTTATGTTTGATAAAAGCTGAGCTCCAACAAAAACTTTTCCCACACTCCGCGCACGAGTAGGGTCTCTCGCCCGTGTGGATTCTCTGATGTATGCTGAATGTTGAGCTCCCACTAAACCTTTTCCCACACTCAGAGCATGTGTAGGGTGTCTCCCCAGTGTGGATTCTTTGATGTGCCAACATGTGTGACTTGTGTTTGAAGCTTTTCCCGCACTCAGAGCATGTGTAGGGTCGCTCTCCCGTGTGGATTCTCCGATGTGTAGTAAGCTGTGACCTTTGGCTGAAGCTTTTCCCGCACTGAAGGCATGTGTAGGGCCGCTCTCCTGTGTGGACTCTCAGATGTGTGATGAGGTGAGAGCGGAGTTTGAAGCTGTTCCCACACTCTGAGCATGTGTAGGGTCGCTCTCCTGTGTGGATTCTCTGATGTGCGAGAAGGTGTGATCTGTTTATAAAGCTTTTCCCGCACTCAAGGCACATGTAGAGACGCTCTCCTGTGTGGATTCTCTGATGTTTGTTGAGGCTTGAGCTCTGGCTGAAGCTTTTCCCACACTCAGAGCATGTGTAGGGTCGCTCTCCTGTATGGATTCTCTGATGTTTGATCAGGTCCGAGCGCCGACTGAAACTTTTCCCGCACTCAGAACACATGTAGGGCCTCTCTCCTGTGTGGATTATCTGATGCGTGATGAGGTTTGAGCTTTGACTGAAACTTTTTCCACACTCAAGACATGTGTAGGGTCTCTCTCCCATGTTCATTCTTTCATGTCTCATAACATCTGAGCCACTACAGAAGCTTTTCTCTGGCCTATGCTGACTCTCACAGGTTTTTGCCTCTGCACAACTCCAAGAAACTTTCCCTTTGGATCTTCCTGCTAATGTCCCATGTGGTTCTACTTGCTCAGCATCTTCCAGGTGGGGACTCTTCTCCTCGTTCTCACTCAGCATCCCATCTCCTGGAAGGATAGAGAGAGAATCCAGACATAGGTCACTCCCTGTGCTGGGGAGAGAGGAAACCTCAGGGAGAGGAATGGGAAAAGGTGGGAACAAACCAAAATAAGTGCAGGAGAGACAAAACAGGATTTGATTTCCACCCTCTCCCCTGCCAAAGCCCTTCCCCAGATGACAGAGAGGTGGGTAGTACATTTTCACACAGTACACCACGGTCCAAGAGCTAGAGCGGCCACATTTGGGGTATGGGGGAACAAGGGACTCCGGGATGTGGTTACTTTGACTCAAGTCTGCACACTGCTGTGTGGACACCAGAGCACTAGGTTGCAGCACAGGTTAGAAAAGTCTAACATAGGGTTAAAATAGATTGCAGACACTCAAGCCTAGGGTTTCTTAACATGGGTCATCTGACTTGAGTCCCACTAAGCTGGGATTACACTGCAGTGTAGACATACCCAATGTCTTCTGCTGTAAGCGTTGGTGGAAGGGGTCTCACACTATGTGAGAAGATTTGCATCATGAGAAAACCACCTGTATTTTATTTTCACATTTTCTAATCTGTCAAGGAAGCAGGAGGTGGAGAAGTGATGCAAATGCATAAGGCACAAGAGCAAAGCTGAGAGATGAAAGCATAGAATCAAGACTCAACATTCCTGTATCCTGCAGTTTGAACTTGGAGTCTGACACATTCATTCCTTCACTGACCATCATCACATGCACAGCATGGAAGTGCTCCTTGTCCAAAAAGGCCGTCAGATGGGGAAGGAATGTCCTCTGAAGGCATCAACTATTTCTCTCTTTACCCCATGAAGCTTTCAACCCAAATGGCAAAGGACAATTGCTCCCAATTTAACCATGGCATCCTTTGGGTCCAGAATGAATGGCACTGAACTAAGGAGTAGTGTTCTGAAAATAAATAGTTTAGCTGGGCCATGGGTCATCATAGTTTCCATCTCTGGGGTGAAAATCAACCACTGGGTACCTACTATTTCTACCTGAGTTCTTGTATAATCCTTGGCCTTGGTTGGGGTAACTTGACACTTCTCTGGATTAGCATCCTTACCAAACCGCACCAAATGTCAGTAGTGATAGTGAGGAATAGCTTCCCCAAACATGCCTGGTTTACTTATTTAATCTAGTGCCACAGATCTAAGATAGCGACTAGATCCTGGTCTGGATCAGAATCCCTGTAACCCAGGGATTTTGGGGTGTTTATTAAAAACAGGTATAATTCTGCAGCCGTCTCACATTCAACACTAATTTCATTTTATACACATTTGCAGTATCTACAAGGGATGAGCTTATTAGCGATTATCTTTGAAAAGTCATGGAAGATGGGAGAGATTCCAGAAGTCTGGAAAAGGGCAATTATAGTGCCAATCTATAAAAAGGTACAACCCAGGGAATTACAGACCAGTCAGCTTAACTTCTGTACCTGAAAAGACAATGGAGCAAATAATTAAGCAATCAATTTGCAAACATCTAGATGATAATAAGGTGATAAGTAACAGTCAGCATGGATTTGTTAAGAACAAATCATGTCAAACCAACCTGATAGCTTTCTTTGACAGGGTAACAAGCCTCGTGGATAGAGGGGAAGCGGAAGATGTGGTATATCTTGAATTTAGTAAGGCTTTTGATACTGTCTCACATGATCTTCTCATAAATGAACTACGGAAATCCAACCTAGATGGAGCTATTATAAGGTGGGTGCATACCTGGTTGGAAAACGATTCCCAGAGAGTAATTATCAATGGTTCACAGTCATGCTGGAAGGGCATATTGAGTGGGGTCCCACAGGGATCAGTTCTGGGTCTGGTTCTGTTCAATATCTTCATCAGTGATTTAGATAATGGCATAGAGTACACTTATAAAGTTTGCGAACGATACCAAGCTGAGAGGGGTTGCAAGCACTTTGGAGGATAGGATTAAAATTCAAAATGATCTGGACAAACTCAAGAAATGGTCTGAAGTAAATAGGGTGAAATTCAATGTGGACAAATGCAAAGTACTCCACTTAGGAAGGAACAATCAGTTGCACACATACAAAATGGGAAATGACTGCCTAGGAAGCAGTACTGCGGAAAGGGATCTGGGGGTCATAGTGGACCACAAGCTAAATATGAGTCAACCGTGTCACACTGTTGCAGAAAAAAGCGAACATCATTCTGGGCTGTATTAGCAGGAGTATTATAAGCAAGATACGAGAAGTAATTCTTCCGCTCTACTCCGCACTAATTAGGCCTCAACTGGAGTACAGTAACTCCTCACTTCAAGTCGTCCCAGTTAACGTTGTTTCATTGTTAAGTTGCTGATCAATTAGGGAACGTGCTCGTTTAAAGTTGTGTAATGCTCCCTTCTAATGTCATTTGGCAGCTGCCTGCTTTGTCTACTGCTTACAGGAAGAGCAGCCCCTTGGAGCTAGCTGGTGGGGGCTTGGAACCAGGGTGGACTGGCAGCCCCCCATCACCCTATCAGCTCCCTGCTCCCCTAAGTTCCCTGTGCAGCAGCTGCCTGCAGTTCAGCTGTGTCCCTCCCCCCACTGCCATGTGCTGCTCCCCGAGACTCCTGCTTGCTGTGCCGGGGGGGAGGGAAGGAAGAGGGGGGCTGTCAGGGTGTCCTGCTCCTCCCTACTCTTGCACCCCTCTTACCCCATCTTCCATAGAGCAGGGGGGACATACCAGGGCTGAGGTCTCAGCAAGCTGATCTAACTAACAAGGCAGTGTACTTAAGGGAAATGCGCATATCTCCCTCCATTCCTGCTGCTTTGCAGAGTGAGAGAGTTAACCCTTGAGGGCTCAGCCAATAGCTAGTTCATCATTTAGCAGTAAGGGAAATATCCCACCCTCTGACTCCTCCACCTCAACCAAGCTTCACAATCATCATCACTGTGTACCAGTATTAAATTGTTTGTTTAAAACTTATACTGTGTGTGTGTATATATATATATATATATATATATATATATAAAATAGTCTTTTGTCTGGTGAAAAAAAATTTCCCTGGAACCTAACTCCCTCATTTACATTAATTTTTATGGGGAAATTGGATTCGCTTAACATGGTTTTGCTTAAAGTCGCATTTTTCAGGATCATAACTACAACATTGAGGAGTTACTGTATTGTGTCCAGTTCTGGGCGCCACATTTCAGGAAAGATGTGAACAAATTGGAGAAGGTCCAGAGAAGAGCAACAAAAATGATTAAAGGTCTAGAAAACATGACCTGTGAGGGAAGATTGAAAAAACTGGGTTTGTTTAGTCTGGAAAAGAGAAGACATGATAACAGTTTTCAAGTACATAAAAGGTTGTTACAAGGACGAGGGAGAAAAATTGTTCTTCTTAACGTTTGAGGATAGGACAAGAAGCAATGGGCTTAAATTGCAGCAAAGAAGGTTTAGGTTGGACATTAGGAAAAACTTCCTAACAGTCAGGGTGGTTTTAGGCACTGGAATAAATTGCCTAGGGAGATTGTGGAATCTCCATCATTGGAGATTGTTAAGAGCAGGTTAGACAAACACCTGTCAGGGATGGTCTAGATAATACTTAGTCCTGCCATAAGCGCAGGGGTCTGGACTAGATGACCTCTCGAGGTCCCTTCCAGTCCTTTGATTTTATGATTCTAAAATGCCACTTCCATTTTCTCCATCACTACAGAGATAGCTATTGGGTTTCCCAAATAATAGGCAGCATGCACTAAGGTGCATAAGATTCAGAAGGAAATATTTTCAATAGTAACTTTCTGTAGGGCCTGGACCACAATTACTTTGGGATCCAAATCCATGGGCCTTTTGCCAAGTTCCAAGTCACTGATTGGGGCATACACTTCCCAGATCATCTGAAATTATATTGCCATAACCATGAATAACACTGTGTTTACCAAACTAAATTAAAACCCCAAATGCTTCATAACACTAGCTGACAGAACTGGACAAGAGTGCTTTGCGATCTGACTATTGAGCAAATTGAATCAGCTAAACTAAACACAAGTGGAACAATATAGGTTGTGAAATCCCGGCAGTGCTGTTGCAATGACAGCAACCATGTAAGAATGGATTTTTACTGAAACCTCAGTTCTAACACGGAACTATTATTCTGGAATGTAACTTGCTTACCTAAACTCTTGCAATCAGAACTATTTTTCAGGGATGTAAATTGTTTGATTACAAACTACCAGTTTGTCTAGATAAGATATACTGGGAAATCAGTTCTTGTAAATACAAGGGTAAAAGTGAGATAACTGATAAAAATATAAATGTATTATCGTTAGCAACTATAAGTGGAATAGTGGTGTTATATAATCAAAATAAGAAAGTAGTCAACAGTGCATATGTAAATTATATTATATTTGAAGTCCTTTATATTCATGTTAAATTCTCTGAAACGGTATGGTAGGTAGATGCTGTAACCTTTGTATGAACTTCTCGTTTGTATCTGTGCTGGAGAATTTGCAAGCTTTGCAAAAACTAAGGGTACGTCTACACTACGAAATTAGGTCGAATTTATAGAAGTCGATTTTTTAGGAAGCGATTTTATACAGTCGATTGTGTGTGTCCCCACTAAGCCCATTAAGTCGGCGGAGTGCATCCACAGTACCGAGGCTAGTGTCGACTTTTGGAGCGCTGCACTGTGGTAGCTATCCCACAGTTCCCACAGTCTCTGCCACCCATTGGAATTCTGGGTTGAGCTCCCACTGCCTGATGGGGCAAAAACATTGTTGCGGGTGGTTTTGGATACATGTCGTCAGTCGCCCCTCCCTCCGTGACAGCAACGGCAGACAATTGTTTCATGCCTTTTTTCCGAGCAGACGCCATACCATGGCAAGCGTGCAGCCCGCTCAGCTCAGCCACCACGGTTGTGTCCTGGGTGCTGCTGGCAGCAGACAGTGCAGTAGGGCTGCAAACCATCATCACGCTTCTGCTGTCACTCTGCCCTCCTGCTCTGGCAGCAGACAGTGAAGTAGGGCTGCAAACCATCGTCACGCTTCCGCTGCCACTCTGCTCTCCTG